ATATGTGACTACTGCACCTGTGACTATTGCATATGTGACTACTGTGACTATTGCATATGTGACTACTGCACCTGTGACTATTGCATATGTGACTATTGCACCTGTGAATACTGCACGTGTGACTATTGCATATGTGACTATTGCACCTGTGAATACTGCACGTGTGACTACTGCACCTGTGAATACTGCACCTGTGACTATTGCACTGTGACTATTACATATGTGACTACTGCACCTGTGACTATTGCATATGTGAAGATTGCATGTATGACTATTGCACATGTAAATACTGCATGTGTGACTATTACACTGTGACTATTGCACTGTGACTACTGCACCTGTGACTATTGCATATGTGAATACTGCACCTGTGACTACTGCATGTGTGACTACTGCACCTGTGAATACTGCATATGTGACTATGGCACCTGTGACTACTGCACCTGTGACTATTGCATATGTGACTATTGCACTGTGACTACTGCACCTGTGACTACTGCACATGTGACTATTGCATATGTGACTACTGCAACTGTGAATACTGCATGTGTGACTATTGCACTGTGACTACTGCATATGTGACTACTGCATATGTGACTACTGCACTTGTGACTATTGCACATGTGAATACTGCATGTGTGACTATTGCACCTGTGGCTACTGCATATGTGAATATTGCATGTGTGACTATTGCACTGTGACTACTGCACATGTGAATACTGCATGTGTGACTATTGCACCTGTGGCTACTGCATATGTGACTATTGCACTGTGACTATGGCACCTGTGGATACTGCATGTGTGACTATGGCACCTGTGGCTACTGCACACATGACAGGTGTTTAATGACATTATGTGGGTGAATGAAAAACAAGAGTTTTGCTTGCTTTTCCGGGAATGAGAATACTTCTTCACTCATGTATTCTTGAGTCTAAAGAAACAGTATGGTTGACTTTAAAAACACACGATCCCAAGGACTGAGCTAAGAACTTGATCTTGCCCAATGAGTAAATGAGAAACACTAACAGTCTCAGATTTTTGGAGGTACTGTTTCTATAACTAACGTGAGTAATCCTTCCAATCACTTTATCATTTATTTGTAATGTGAAATAAGTAGTCAGGAAGTCAATAAGTATCTGAAGTTTTAGGAAGAAATTAGATTTTTGATAGAGTGGGGAAAGTACTGTCAATGGAGAAAAGTGAGACAAAATGGAAAACAAGCACACACAGTACAAAAACACGGATGCAAAAATGAAATCAACATGAATATAGGTTTATGGCTGGCTAGGGAAGGAGGTCCTTTCCAGAAAATAGTCAATAGAGGTGGCTCAGGGGGTAAAAATACGTGCCAGATGAGCATGCAAGTTAAATTTTAAAAATGAACTAGTCTAAGGGCTAGAGAGATGGTAAACAGTTTGAGGCAAAGTATGACGATCTGAGTTCTGATCCCCAGGACCCCCATAAAACCAGGCATGGTGTCGCATGTCTGTGATTCCTATCGTGAGATGGGGAAGAAGACAGGAGAGTCGCTGGATGCTCACAAACCAGCTAGGCCGGTGTCCAGAGCAGGAAGAACAAAGAGGCCCTGTCTCAAATAAGGCAAAAAGCTAGGATCAGCACTCAAGGTGTCCTCTGACCTCCATACACACACTGTGACATGTGCACACCTATATATACACATGAACATATATGTATACATACATAAAAAATAAAATAATTCATCTAATGGTTATTTAGCAGTTACATAAAGAGGACACAGGAGTTTGGCAATAGAAAGTCATAATGCTGCAGCAGTGATCCAGGGATTGAATTAGGGTGTGTGTGTGTGTGTGTGTGTGTGTGTGTGTGTGTGTGTGTGCGTGCGCGCGCACGCGTGCGTGCATGTGTGTGATCCAGGGATTGAATTAGGTTGTCAGGATTGAGTAGCAAGTGTTTTTACCCAGAAAGCCATCTTGCTGGCCCTAATCTAAGTCTTTTATGAAAAAAAAAAAAAAAACAGGGGATGAAGGTGGCTCAGCCCTTGAGAGGGCTTGCCGTTCTTTCTGAGGACCAGAATTTGGTTCCTGGGACCTTTATCAGACGGCTTATAACAACCAGGTCCGTGGTATCTGATGCTCTCCTCTGACCTCCATGGATACCTTCACACACATGGAATACACACACACGCACACGCACACACACACAGAGAGAGAGAGAGAGAGAGAGAGAGAGAGAGAGAGAGAGAGAGAAAACAATCTTTATAAATACTCATGTCTAATTTGCCTCTACTAGACTATGGAGTAAAAGGAAATGAGATTCTAAAAACATAATAAAACCAGTTACTATCAAAACCATTCTCTTCTATACTTTTGATATTATTTTTACCTGGATCCTGAGAGGCCAATTGAGAAGTATCATTCCTGGCCTTAAGGAAACCTGTGAAATCCAGTATTCCATTAACTATAAAAAATGGTTCAGAAACAAGAAAAAAAGAAGTCCATCAGTAAACTTATTAAGCTGAAAATGTAGGTATAATTAACTGATGTCAGAATATAATAGTTTGTATGCAAAAGCAGTCACATTTTTACATTGTGTGGAGAATATATATGGAGATGGAGAGATGGAGAGAGGAGAGAGAGAGAGAGAGAGAGAGAGAGAGAGAGAGAGAGAGAGAGAGAGAACTTACCAGGAAAAAGTTTGAATGCCATATTAAATAATAAACAGTATTATGGTGGTATTTTATTTGTACTGAAATGTGATTTTCATTGTATGTTAATAAATAAAGTTGCCTGGGGGTCAGAGCTATTAGAGCCATAGAAAGAGCGTGGCAGTGGTGGCGCACGCCTTTAATCCCATAGATCTCTGTGTTCAGGGATACATCCAGCATTGGAGACATACGCCTTTAAGACCTGGAAGGCTGTACTTACAGGCAGTGACGAGGCAGTCATGTGTTTGGATTTACAACCAATGAGAAGGCAGAACAGAAAGACTATATTAAAGACAAACACACAGGAAGTAGCTCTCTTTTGGGGAGGTAGGACCACCGCAGGAAGGGTAAGGTTTTAGCTCTTAGCTCTGACCTCTCGGCTTTCTCTTTTACATTGGTTCTGTGTTTCTTATTTAATAAGACAGTTGGTTACATCTACACAGTATGTGTTTCGGTAATAATAAGAATGACATGGACTAGGATTATCAGTACTTTCCTGGTCTTTACTCATGATTTCATCAAATGTATATTTGTAATTATGCGTGTGTGTGTGTGTGTGTGTGTGTGTGTGTGTGTGTGTGTGTGTGTCTGTGTGTCTGTCTGTCTGTGGGGGTGGGGAGGGTATCCGCCTGTGAGTGTAAGTTCCTGCAGAGGCCAGAAGAGGGCATCAGACCTCCCGGAGCAGAAGTTACTGATGGTTACAAGCCACCAAACATGGAGGCTGGGAACCAAACTCTGACCCTCCACAAGAAGAGTAAACATTCATAACTGCTGAGCCATCTTGCTAGCCCCCCAAAATCACACACACACACACACACACACACACACACACACACACACAAAGCACTCTAGCTTCTGCATTACATATTCAGAAATGAAAGTAAAAACAAAGGGTATACAAGCATAAGTGTATTTTTCTTCAACAATTTTTCCTCCTCTGGACTTTCAACACAAGGTCTCAGGAAACCCAGGCTGCCCTAGAACTCATTATGTAGCAAAGGATAACCTTAAATTCCTGATTCTCCTATTTTGACCTTCCAAGCACTGGGATTAAAGGTGTTTACCACCACACCTGGCTTCTCTGACTCTCTCTCTCTCTCTCTCTCTCTCTCTCTGACATCAATCAATGTAAGCTAGGCTAAAGTAAATGACAACCATTTATAATCACAAAGATATGGTGTGCTTTTCTTAACTCCTAAAAATTGTGAACTATATAATCAGGCATAAAATGCTGACATACTGGTGTGTATACTACCTGACTATAAAACATTAGTAACCTTTCCCATCATCTACTTTTTCAAGTATATCAAAACCTTCAAAACATAATTTGACATAAACTATCTTCCCACCATCAATTTTGAAAATTATAATGAGATCAAATTTAAAAGTTACGCATATCTCCAGGTGGTGGTGGCGCACACTTTTAATCCCAGCACTTGGCAAGCAGAGGCAGGTGGATCTCTGTGAGGTCGAGACCAGCCTCATCTACAAAGTGAGTTCCAGGACAGCCAGAACTACATAGAGAAATTCTGTCTTGAGAAAAAAAAAAAGTTGCACACATCAGGAAATGTATCATGGCAGACTTGGAAAGAACCCCCACACTCATCAGTGAGATAGTGGTGTTGTAGCCGGCATCTTTCCGGAATAAGCATTCCAACACCAATGAGAGTGAAGAGAGGCATGTCACTGGTGTCACCAGTGGACCAACACCAATCAGGAACTACCCTGGCTTCCACTTTCGTCACATCGGAATGCTTATTCCAGGTTCAGGCAACAGAAAGACAAAATATGATGTATTCACACAGGATAATAGCACACAAATTATTGAGCAAACAAGAGGTAGCATACAAAAATACAAAAGGAATCTAGTTTATATAATATTAATATAAAGATTATAGGTATCATGACAAACTTTGTAAAAAAAAATTTTTAATAGACACAATGTTTTAAATTTTTTAAAAACATATCCCATAACAATGAAAATATATTAAAGGGGAATAAAGCGCATATAACTCAGTACTTTCCTTAAACTGAAGAAACTAGAAAATGGGCTGATTCATGAACTTTATGGATAGATGCAAATTTTATCAAGGTCTTAGGTCTCATCTGGAGAGACTGGGTTGGGTACTTATTTCATTGTTAATATAGCATTACTATTAAAAAATAAAGCAGCTCACTCCTAGTCCAATGATGAGACTGTACCATAATCCAATGTAGTAATCAATCCAATTATAGTCACCTGAAGTATAACCCTTTAATAGCATTGTAAATAATGTTTTCAAAACATAATAAAAAATTGTGTCTTGTAAATATTTGACATTTAGCCTTTCCATCGCCTGTAATTAATCTACTAAACATAACTTACATTTACGTGTGCAAGACCTTGAGAGGAAACTCACCGTCAATGTCAACAGTCTTCAGAACCTGTCGCATTTCGGAGTCACTCATGGAAATTTTCAAGTTGTGAAGGATCACTGGTAAGTCATTCACGTAAATCTTACCCTGTCGAACTTTACTAAAAATCATGCAGGCTTTGGGAAGTGCTGCATTGTGCATAACAAAACAATTAATTAAAATTAATATCCATCTTGATTACCCCACAATCTCACAAGAGGAAACAGTAATAATCACTAGCAGGAGAAAGAGAAGGACACTTTTGTTTACCCTTTAAACTCTAACTGTGACTTAGGTGTATCCAGAATATGGAACCTGTCCTCTGTGCTCCTGCAGCACTCAGGACATAACACAACCAGAACATTTTGTGTTCTTACTGCTTCTGAAGGCAAGAATTTTCCTTTTTCCTCTTTCAGGTGTTACTTTATAGATGTCCCCGCCTCAAAAAAAAAAAAATGTCTGTCGAATTGAATTCTATTTAGTTCAATGAAAACAATATTTAAGGAAACTATCCAATAGCCAGGAAAGCTGAGGTAAGATGATCAAAGTTCTGGGCCTGGCTGAGTTGCATAGTGAGTTCTAGGTCAACCTGGGCTACATAGTGAGACCCTGAGAGAGACAGGTGGGAAGGAGAAGGGAGGGAGAAAGAGGGAAAAGGGGGTAGGAGAGAGGATGAAAGGAAAATAAACTGAAAAAAAATAGTAACGTTAGGATGTTAATAAAAGGTTTATGGAGGGGAGGAGGTAAGTGAAAATGATGGGATACACACATAAAAAAAAAAACTATTTTAAGAAGCTTCTCTGAGCTGGAGAAGTGGCTCAGTGATTAAGAGCACTGGCCACGCAACCAGATGACTAGGGTTCATTGCCAGCACCCACGTGGCAGCTCAAAACTGTCTGTGACTCCAGTTCCCAGGACATCTGATGCCCCTTCTGACCTCCGTGAGCACTGCACACACATAGCACATAGACATACATGTAGGCCAAATACTCATACACTTAAAAAAAGAAGTAGATCGGGGAGAGGGAGGAGGAGGAAGCATAAGGAAAGGGAGGAGAAACTTCACACACAGAGCATAGCTATACTTAATGGTGGCCTTTTATCTCAGCACTTGAGAGGAAGAGGCCAGTGGATCTCTACGAATTCCAAGCCAGCCTGGTCTACATAATGAGTTCCAGGTCAGCTAGAGTTACACAGAGTTGTGTGACCCTGTCTCAAAACAAAACATATACATATATAAACATATACATGTATATAAGTATATGTACATATACATCTGACCCTGTAGAACCAGGAATAATAAATAAATATAAATGAAATGTAAAGGGATTTCTCTGTTGAACGGGAACCATTTCCAAACAGATCAAAGGGAATAATGTGAATGGAGTTTATAACTAAGCATAAAGGTAGAAAAAACAAGATGTTTAGGAAGATTCTTCACAATAGTTTTTATAACCTGTCTATAATCCTACGTCTGTTTTTTTTTTTTTTTTTTTTTTTTTTTTATGAAATCAGATGAACTGGGAATGATGGAGTATAGCTACAATCCCAGCACTTGGAAGGTGGTAGCAGAAGTTCAAAGCCATTCTCGGCCTCAATGTGAGTTTGAGGACAGTCTGGGCTACATGAACCCATTTCCAAAAAAATTTTTTTAAAAAACAGGATATCAATAAGATAGCCTCTCTACATCTGTGACCAGCAGTATTCACAGTTGCCAACACATAGAACAAACGACAAAAAGCACAGCCATCAAAAGGTGAATTAACTTTTAAGCATGGTACTTACACAGAGAATATCATTTACTTAGTCTTTTCAAAGAAAGAAGTATTGTAATATTCGGTGATTGGAACAAACTGGACGATGCTGTGTTTAGTGAAATAAACCAGTCACAGGGCAAATCATTCTACGTACACTAGTAACCTAACAGTCCAACCTAAGAAGCAAGGACTAGAGCTGTGGCTGTTAAGGACTGAGGGAGAGGAAAGAGGGGTCGCTCACCAATGGAGATAAAATTTCAATCGCGTATAATAAACTCCAGAGGTCTGTACAATATTATACCCATAAATAACAATACTGCGTAGTACACTTAAAAATATGTTAAGGAGGTAGTTCTCATGTTAAATGTTCCTGAAATTTAGAAAGAAGTAGTAAGTAAAATGTTTACTTTTTTTTTTTTTTTTTTTTTTTTCGGTTTTTTCGACTGTCCACCTCGAACTCACAGAGATCCGCCTGGCTCTGCCTCCCGAGTGCTGGGATTAAAGGCGTGCGCCACCAACGCCCGGCATACTTTTATAGATTTTTTAGAGAAGCAAATCATGTGTGCGTGCACATGTACAAGTGTGTGGAGGTCAGAGGTCAACCTCACTGTCATTCCTCATGAGTCATCTGCTTGTCTCTCCTTGAGACAGTCTCTCACCAGGACCTGCTTGCCAGCTAGGCTAGGCTGATTGGCCACTAAGCTCCAGGGATCTGCCTGTCTCTGCCTGCCAAGGGCTGGGATTACAAGGGTGCACCTTTTTTATGTAAATGCTGGGATTGACTCATGTTCTCCTGGTAGCATGGTAAGGATTTTACCAACTGAGCTCTCAGAGAGAATTGTAGCCCTAAGACAGAAGCAAATCTTAATTAAATTAAATTAATTAAATATATTGAAAGTATGGCATAGACCTCAAAGGATACACAAGAAAATCTGGTCAAAAGTTAAAAGGAATGCCAAGCATGCAGAAGAGTGTCAAGTCTGGGTCCAGCATGGCCTGCACAGACTCTATCAGAAAGGATGGGAGGGAGGGAGGGAAGGAGGGAGGGAGGAAGGGAGGGAGGGAATATAAATTCTAGAATGTATTACCACTTAATTCTTGGAATTTTAGGGATCCTTCAGGCATTTGTTCATATAATGTCATGTAAAGGTTAGAAATTGGCTCCTTCCTCCTGTCAGAGAAAGGGCCACATTAGAAAACAGCAAAGGACATTTATAAAAGCCCCACAGAAAGATATTAGCAAACCTATAAATAACCTGAAATCATAAGAATTTTTATTTTTGCCTGGTTTTATTTTGGTGAAACGCAGTCTCGCCAAGTTGCCCAGGCTTCATCAACCTCATCACAAAGCCAGGCTGGCCTTGAACTCCTGCTGATCCTCCTGCCTTAACCTCACAAGCGCTGGGACTATGGCCCTGTGCTATACAAGTCTCAACCAAGAGAACCTCTGTTAAAGAGCCCCCTGGTGGTGAGAGTTGTTATCTTCACCCCCAAACTCTTCCTTTGTTTCTTTCTGTGTCTCTGCAGGGAGCAGAATCTAACCTTGTCACCACCCTGACTCACTAGCCTCTGCCTCAGGTCCAGTTTTTCCTGCTCTTAACACAAGTTACAGTAATTCTTCAAAGAAAGGTATTATGTGACAAAAACATCTTTAAATAGGAAAAAAAGAAAGAAATTCCAGATTCCATCAGCACCTATAAATAAAATATCTGGGGAAAAGGATTCATCTGGTATTACTGTAAAATGTAAATAACTAAAATCATAATTATGAGTGTTGGAAGAAAGCTTAAGAGTCCATACAATACAAGATTCTTGTATAGAAATGGAAAGTGAGGGGCTGAACAGATGGCTCCGTGGTTAAGAGCACCTGCTGCTCTTTCAGAGAACCTGTCTGGGGTCCAGCACCCCCAGCTGGTGGCTCACAGCCACCTGTGACTCCCTCTTCTGCCCTCACAGGCACTCACATAGATGTGCACAAACACACACATGGAGCCAGTGCATACCTTTAATTCCAGCACTCATGAGGCAGAGACAGGGGGATCTCTTAGTTTGAGGCCAGCCTGGTCTACAAAAGGCCAGCCAGAGCTATACCATATGGCCCTCTCTTCAAAAAAATGGAAAGTAGAGCCCAAGATGCAGCATGAATTTTATAAACACTAAAATAGGGTGTGAGGCCAATTAGGACACGATCTAAGTCTCCAATCCCACATATAGTGTTCCTACCTCTGCCTGAGTCTTTGCATTTAAACAAATTATTGCTGTTCTGTATACGGAAGAGATACATAATTGCAGAGAAAATCTCCAAATCCAACCCCACATTAAAATCAGAACACAGTGATTTGAATACCGAGGAGTTGAGGAAGTTGTAGGGAGAGGAAGCAAAGTCTTGTGACTACCAAACTGGCAGGGCACCTTGTGTGAAGTGCTTTCTTTCCCAGTCATCTTCTCTCTTGACAGCTTCAGGCAGGGAGAGGCAATCTAGGGCCGAAAACAAGGATAGTGGCGCATGAGATGATCCTAGTAGTCCAGCATCCTTGAACAATAAGCCTCTTGAAAGATAATCATACCACAGTGTCTCACTTACCCACACTCCTGGTATAAAAGTCCTTTTGGTAATTCCATTCTATTCCACATGCACTAAAAACTTTTTAAAACTATATAATATTCTTTGGAAACACCATTTTTCTTAAGTTGATAACTAATTACCTTCTTTTAATTAACCGTAATAGATTTTATAGAACAGGGTAAACCTCTGGAGGCATCACAATCCCTGACTTCAAGCTCTACTATAGAGCTACAGTAATAAAAGCAGCTTGGTATTGGCATAAAAACCGACATACGGACCAATGGAATCGAACTGAAGACCCTGACATTAACCCACACACCTATGAACATATAATTTTTGACAAAGAAGCCAAAAGTGTACAATGAAAAAAAAGAAAGTATCTTCAACAAATGGTGCTGGCGTAACTGGATATCAACGTGTAGAAGGCTGCAAATAGATCTATATCTGTCACCGTGCACAAAACTAATTACCTTCTTTTAATTAACCGTAATAGATTTTATAGAACAGTGTAAACCTATGTCAAAGTAAGAATGTGACTCAGTTACCAGATAAGGCTCACATATAGACCTTAGCTATATATGCAAAATACCGTGGAGAACCAATGGTTATTCAAGTGATATAAGTAATTTTATTTTAGGTTATCCTTATGATTGGGTAAATTAGCCACTTAACCATAGCATGTATAAAGATGAGTCCAAAACGACAACCAACCAGGTAGATAGAAAAATACCACTTTAGAAAATGAAGACTCATTATATGTGTTTTCAATTCCATGGAACTTAGAGCTTTAAGGACTATGTAGAGAAAACTCAAGCCCCAGGAGACCTACAGGAGTTGGTACTGAGGTCCCATGTAAAACTGATGTCCTCAAAAGTAATGTTCTCTGTAAGAACCAGCTAGAACAAAACAGCAACAATAACAAAACTTAATCCCAGGAGTACACAGAATAAAGTGTGTACTCAACTCCAAGCTAGAGGGAAAAAGGAAAGAAAGAAAAACCCTCCTCCTAATTGATTATAACCACATCTCTAGGCATGTATGAATATTTAATTCAAATGCATTAGTCAAGAAAACTGGAACATTTTAATTAAAGTAATCCCAAATTTGCAAACTTTGTGAAATGCAAGGCAGAAACGGGTGCAAATTCTCTCTAAAAAAAAATATTTTGTAGCCAGACATAAGGATGGTGCATGGCTGTAATCGTAGCACTGGGAGACAGATGCAGGGGGATCAGCAAAACTTCAAGGCCCTCCTTATCTACACAGAAGGTTCCAGGGTAGCCAGGGCTACATCGTGAAACCCTGTCTCCAGAAAACTACATATCTTGGAGAAGTAGGAAATCACCACAAGTTCCTCAACAAATGTGGATCAACTACATGTGAATGAAAGGACACAGGTTCACACTGAGCAAGACAAGATTTGGGTGCCCCAAAGGCTTTATACACTGGATTCATCAGACACCTTCTTGAGATAACTATGGAAAGTGAGTGGAGTATGATATACAGATGGACTTTAAGGAACCACCAAACAAAACTTTTGGAAATAAAACAATCATTGAAATTAAAACCTCAATGGACAAGGTTAAACCTGTACCTTAAATTTAGCTGGATAAAGAAAAATAAATTAACTACAAAATAGGGAACAAAATAGGGAAATCAAAACAAGTGGGGAAAAAACATGAAGCAATGTAACTATGGGTAGTACTCCCCCAAAGGTCCACACATTGGAGACTTTTTGCCTGGGAGGAAATGGGGGGTTAGGGGGGCTGAGACACTGGGCCACGCTGCTGAAGGACTGCAGGAGCCTGGCATCTTCTACTGTTTATGAACAAGAGTTCACAAATAGAGCAATTGTTTAGCCTATGTCCCTGTCACAGCATGCTGCCTCACCAAGAGTGGACCACCAGCAGACCTGCTTGCTTTTGGACGGGCACTTCCAGAGCCACAACCAAAACAGAGCTTTTATCTTCACCAGCCGATTGCCTCAGATCATTTGTAACAGAAAGACAACAAATATAAATGTTACAGGACATAAAGAATGGAATGATATGGTCCAGTGCACATGAAGCAGAAGAACCAGAAGGATGGCAAAGAACTGGAGGAGAGGAAACATCCTGAAAGATGAGTTTGGGGCTAGCCTGGTGTACACAGGGCTCCAGAGACGGAAAAACCAAAAGGATGGCAGATTGAAGGTTTCCAGAATTGAAGGAAAGTGTTCATTCTCAGATTTAAGAAGCACAACAAATATCAAGACAGAGAAATGAGAAGAAATATGCACCAAAGGGCATGGCAGAGAATATAGTAAGTGCTATGTTGGTTCCACTTCACACCCTAATATCAGAAACCTGTGAGCATGACCTTATGTAGAGATAATCTCTGCAGATGTAATGAAATTAAGGATGTCAATAGGAGATGTCCAAGGACAGATGTGCTTGTCAGAATAAGAAAAGAGACTATGAGATCCAGACACAGGAAAGATGACCATGTGAAGAGCCATCTGAAGATGGGGGCAAACGTTTGAGATGCATGACACCAACCAAGGAACTCCTAGGGTCAGAGTTAAAACTGCAAAAAATAGTAACACACAACACAGTCATAAAAAAAAACAAACGTTTAAAATAATTAAATAGGGAAAAGTAAATCTAGTTTTCTGAAAGGATTTAATGCCTTATTTTTATAAAGAAAGGGAAGAAGAAAGTCAGATATGGTGGTGTGTACTGTTAGTACCAGCTGCTTAAGAGGCTGAGGCAGGAAAATCACTTGAGCCCACACAGTGAGAAGCCATTCACAACAAACAAACAAAGCAGAAATAGAGAGGTGATACCTTAGTTCCCTTCTTATTGCTATGATGAAATACTCTGAAAGAGCAACCTAAGGGAGCAAGGGTGTTTGAGCTCATAGCTCCTCAGCACAGTCCATGACATCAGGGAAGTCACAGCAGCGGCAAGAATTTGAGAAAACTGCTCACATCCACAATCAGGAACAGAGAGCAGTGAACGCATGCACACTTGCTCAACTTAATGTCTCCACTCTTACACAGAGCAGGATTTCCCACCTAAGGGATGGTAGCACCCACAGTGGACAGTTCTTCCCACCTCGATGTAGTCAAGATAATTCCCCCAAAGACAAACCCCAAAGCCCACCTCTGAGGTAATCTTATATTTTATCCAGTTAACAACTGGCACTAACTGTCGCAGGGATAAGGAAAGGAAAGGAGAAGGAAAAGGCAATATTTAAAATAGTAATGTTTCAACACTTGCACTAAAACATCAAGAATATTTGGGGGCTAAGGACAAAAAGGAAATTTTCAAGAAGTCTTAACTTACCTCAGTTCTTTTACTATGAAACTGTACTTGTAAACTTTTCTTTTTCTTGAATTTCTTTGATCCTGACAACTCAGTGGATTTTTCTTCTCTATACAGGAATAATGATGTTTCATATCTAAATGGCACAGAAATTAGAATAACTGCTAAGTTGTTTTTCTGGCTTTATCTTCCTTTCAACCTTTGATTATGGAAATTTCCAAATAATATGCTAATCTCCCCATGTACCATCACCCAGCTTAACTAATGGCTGACACTCCCTCATTACACCTTTTATTTCTGCTCCCATTCTTTATAAATTTGAAATCACAGTATTTATTTCATCTGCATATATTTCATCAGTATTGTTTCATCTGTAACAATTTTGATAAACATCTCTATAAGGTATATTTTCTTTTTAAAGACATTTAAGACATCACTAGGACACATAAAAATGGATGGACATTTCTTAATATTAACAAATGTAAAATCAGTGTTAAAGTGTCCAGTTGTCTGCTAAATATCATAAACTTCCAAATTCTGTATCAGGATGCAGTAAGTTCCCCGTGCTTGGTTGGGATGTATTTGAAATCTCTTTTCATCTACATAGCCTCTCCTTCTATTTATTATTCCTGCTGCTGTTGGGCCATTGTCCTGTAGATTCTCTACTATTACAGCTACTGGTAAATTTATTCCTCAGCAAAATTATGAAATAAGAGAAAATTTCATCATTTATCTACTTCCTTTCTTAGCGGATACCTTGCCCTTTTTGATACTATTTCCTCATTAAGTCCAGCCCTCCCAAATGCCTATCCTGAGATCCTTGTTCTTATCTTCCCCACCCCACCCCACCCCCCACCACACACACACACACACACACACACACACACACACACACACACACACACTCCTTGGAGCTGTCCTATGGTTAGTCACTTATACAGACCTCTGGCGTCAAAGGAAATGGCTTTCAACTATTTTGACTATGACTCATAGTCTAAAATATGCTTTCCATTAGGAAATAGAGACAGAAAAAGAAACCAAATATATAATAACAGAACCTATTTTACAAAATGCAGTCGTGTTTAAAAAAAAACACTCCAATGTCTTCAATTTAATTTTAATGTATTTCCTTACAAAAGAAAACTTGGTAGTGACCTCCTGAACTCATGTTATAACCCATTCATGGGCCACAGTTTAGAATCTGCTACTGCTTTGCCTCCCCACACCTAACCCCTATATCCTCAATGAGGTTGAGTCTTCCTGTTTTTGACTTACTCATGGCTCCCACTGAGCTACATAGGTTTGATCTTTCATATTTTTTAAAGTATGTGTTTTAAACTATGAATTCACTCCAACATTTTATGGAAAAGTGAATGGTCTGATAAAAATAATGAATAAAAACATTTGCCTTACATCCCATTCCTGAGGGGCATGTGTCTCCCAAGGCACAAGTATGTTCTGAATACTACTAATGCAAGTAAAGAGATACTTACACTATCTTCTGCTCCTTGCCAGAGATAATTGCCTTGCTCTTTGTTACTTTACAAATGTAAGTGGTGGTCAAAATGTTGTATTAAGTAAAATGGAAACACAAATTTATGGTAGAGAGACTTTAGTTCAATTGCTTCGCCATTGCAATATACAAGTGATTTCTAACTTCATTAATCCAGCAGACCAGAATTTAGTTGGTAGGAAAAAAAATGAGATAAACCCAAAACAATTTCTCAAAGTATTTCTTCTAATAAGCACTTTTTTCCTGCCTTTAAGAAATATTAAAATAATAAAATATAAAATATTATATTAAAATATAAAGACCTAGGTATACACAAAATGCCAGAATAAACCAGGCATAGTAGCAAATGTCTTTAATCCCAGCACCAAGGAGGCAATGGCAGGCAGATCTCTGTGAGTTCAAGGCCAGCCTGGTCTACAAAGTTCCAGGACAGCCATGGCTACAACGAGAAACCCTGTCTCAAAAAACCACAAACAAACAAACAAAAACAGAAATAAAGAAAAAATGACAGAACTTTTTTTAAGTAATAAAAGACAGCCACATAACACCGTATGTTTAAAAAAATAAAATAAAATAAAAAGAACTACAAGATTCAAATGATATAATTTCACAAACCCAAGCCCAGATGGAAGAGCCCTTCCATGTCCTTCTTAAATTCTCTTGAAGACAAACTTTCAGACCTATGAACCACTGCTCCCAACTAGCTGGACCTCTGCAACACCATTTAGACTGCTGTGTAGCTGCACCTGAAGTTAGAGGCTTAGCAACAGCTGTGCAACCGTTAAAACCATGTTCCTAAAAAAATTGACCACAAATATACACAATCCTACCGTTAGAACACATATGCTGCATGTCTGGATTTCTTAAACTTGCAAAAGGATAATTTCATAGTGTAAAATCAAAGTTTTTAACTTACATTTTTTTATACTCTGGGACTAAGCCTTTAGTGTCAGATGTATTCCTCTTCCCTGATGTTTTAGAAATTTTGCTGTATTTCTTGCTTTCAATGTTTCTTGATGATAAGTTAGTTGTGAAAGAATCAGAGTCATGAACTGATACATCGATGCTTTCTTCTGTCTGAGGATAATTAATAGTCACAATCATGCATATTCTTTCCCACATACATATCAGATATACCATTCAACTAAAGGGAGTTTGGTTTTAAAAGGATCTTATTCATTCAAACACTATTATTCTAAAGGAATACATATCCCTTAATATCTTGTGTAACTATAAAATGCACAGTATTCATGAATATATGTAGGTGCAAAATTTTATCATGTGTTTTCAAAACAATCGTTTTATCACAAAAAAAAAGAACTATTTTCAGATAAAAACCTAAGGCATGGTCCATGCAAGAAAAAAATTATAAATTACACTCCATTAAAATTAAAAGGCATGAGAAACACCATCAAGAGATTGAAAAGATAAGCCAGACACTAGGAGAAAGTTTGCAAAGGACACATTTGATAAGGAATTGCTATTCTAAATATACAAAGAACAGTGTGTGTTGCATGTATGTATGTATGCACATGTGTGTGCATGCAGATATATCCGTCCTTGTTGCACATGTGCAGGCCAATTTAGAAATGGGTAAAAAAATATGAAAGTGAAGACAAAAATAAATAGATCAACAAGCTATGCTCATAAATTGGAAGAACACATATTCTGTGTCTACACAAAGCAATCTATAGAGTTGATGAAATTATCAAAATTAAAATGTTACTTTTCACAGAAATATAAACAATCCTAAAATTTGTATAGAACCATAATGGGCTCTAAGTACCCAGAACAAGATGAAGCTGGGAGGGAGGTATGCTGAAGAGCCCTGGGAGAGCAGGAGGAAGGGAGTTGGGGCAGATACAACCAAGAGATAGTGCACACATGTATGAAATTTTCAAAGAATAAAAAATAGATTAAAAATACCAAAAAAAAAGAGGCTGACAGAATTCCAAGTGATTCTAGGTTCTGTCCAGTTGGCATCCCTAACCATCACAAATATCTGTTATCAAAAAGATTAATTGAACAAAATGTAGAAGAAAGGGAATACATGTATTATGATGGTATGTTGTGTAATATTAGTTTAGGATGTGTTATATTTGTTTCTGCTGTGGAATATTTGTTTGATGACACAAACAAAGAATGTGTTGCATTCTTTAATGTTGCATTTGTTTAACTCTGTAGAGCTGTGTTACTTTGCCTGTCTAAAACATCTGATTGGGCTATAAAAAACTGAACAGCCAATAGCAAGGCAGGAGAGACGAATAAGCAGGGCTGCCAGGCAAAGAGAAAAAATAGGAGAAATCTAGGCTCAAGAGAAGAGCAAGGAACAAGAAAAAGAGGAGAGGAGGACACCAGGGTCCAGCCACATAGCCAGCCATGGAATAAGAAGGAAAGAAAGATATGTAGAATAAAGAGAGGTAAAAAGCCCAGAGGCAAAACATAGTTAAAGAGAAATGGGATAATTTAAGTTAGAAAAGCAGGCTAGAAACAAGCCAAGCCAAGCTGAGGCTGGGCATTCATAAGTCAAAATAAGTCTCTATATATTCATTTGGGAGCTGGGTGGCAGGCCCCCAAAGAATTAAAAAAAGAACCAGCTGTATTTTGGCACCCCATGTTAGGCACCAAATGTTTTGCATTCAGTACAGTGGCTGCACCTTAAGCAACTGCTGTCCCAACCGACAATTCCAACTCTACAGCTCCCAGCATCAGCTCGGCCACAGAGGCCACAGCCAGGCTGGAATTCTGTTCCCTCAGGCCCCAGCTCCAGTATGCTGCTAAAGGGAACTTTATCTAAATCTCTATCCTTCTATAGAACTCAGGATTCAAAGGGTGAGGTGAAATCCTGCTAGCTCAGAGAGGCTGAATAGCAAGTAGCTAACCTTCTCTTCTTGCTTGCATCTCCCAAAAAAGGAGCGTCCTTCTGCTCAGCCCCCAGTAAGGAACCCTTGCTACACATGGTTCCTCCTACCACTTCCTGTCAGCTAGTTGCTGACTCAGCCTCCTGACCCCAGGTTAATTTTATTTAATCAAACAAATGTAACACATCTTTGCAACGTTAACAAAGGCAACAGAAACAAATGTAACACACCTTTACACAGTTAAAATAATATTCTACAACAATGATGGGTACATAAATTAATATAGCCAATTTGGAAAATAGTATAGATGTTCCTCAAATGTAACTGTCACATAATTACAGCAACTCAGAAAAACTAAAATCAAGATACTGAAAAGATATCAGCATTCCCATTTATTTCAACAGGACTCATAATAACCAAGATACAGAATCAACCTAAGTGTGTACCAATTGGCAAGTAAATAAAGGACATATATATATAGACACAGTACAATACCATACTGACTTAAATAGAAGTTCTGTCACTTGCAAAAGTATGAAGGGAACTTTAATGCTACATTAGATAAGTCAGGCATAGAGAGATAAATAATGCCAGATCTTAGTTATACGTGAAATTCAAAATGTTGGTCTCACAAAAATGTAGGAGAAAAGTGCTTATCAAGAGGCGTGTCAGGCAACCGGAGAGATGGCTCAGCAGTTAGGTGTGGACACTGCTCTTGCAGAGACCCAAGTTCAGTTCCCAGCACTCATATCAGTAGGTTCTCAGCTGTCTACAACTAAAGCTCCAAGGTAGCCAATGCCATCTTCTGGCCTCTGCAGACACCTGCACTCATGTACATGTAAACACCCCCCACATACACACACATTAAAAGTGAATTTTTTTAAAGATGCTGATAGCTCACTATACCCATAGTGCCTCTGGGTAGCACTAACTGAACTTAGCAGGTTATTAAAAAACAAAACCGACATGAAGTTAGGAAGGAGACATGTTGAGAGAGTCGAGGGGGAGTTGGGAGGAAGGGCATGGTAGCTATAACTATAACTAAGATACAGTGTATGCATGTATGAAATTCTCAAACAGAAACAGACTGATATGAAGGAGGAAGGATGGAGAAGGGGAAGATAAGGATCAAAGGGAACAAAGCTTCAGTTAAACTGAAGGAATGTTTTAATACTCTAATGCACTGACTGCATGGTGACTATTCCTGTAATAATATAGAATACCAGCAATTGCCATGACTGTCGGTTGCCACCAGAACTAGCTGGTAAGACTATTGCTAAAGACACCACCCACCCAGGAAAACCAAGCCGAAACTCGGCTGGACGTTCCCTCGTTGCTGCTAGAAGCTGCTCTGCAGGCTGCTGGGAGAGAATTGTCAACAACTGTCTTACTTACTGTGTGTAACAATATTGACTGGCCACACAGTGAGCCCACAGGTAAATAATGGCACACTAACTGGGGGATAATCAACTGCTTTCTCACTGGATCTGATGCCTGCTCCACAAAAGGGGATTCACGGGTATAACTGCAAGCCTGGTCAAAAGCCAGGAGGGGCATAAGCCCGAGTGGGGAAGCTGCTTCACTAAACGGACATGATGTGCCTGTCCAGCTGCTTTCTAACTAACTGTGTTTATGCCCACAGGAAAGTGCGATTAGCTTTGACAAGAAAAGCTTCTGTTCACAGTTGTCCCTGGTGACCATAACTACTCGTAATATAAATATAGCTAGTCAAAATATAAATAACTAGTCAAACTACAAATGACTATGGGATGCTACAGTGCTCTGAACGAGAACGACGACCCTCATGGGCTCTTATATTTGTGTGCTTAGTCCCCAGGTGATGAACTGTTTCAGGAGGATCAGGAGGTGTGGCCTGGTTAGAGCAGGTGTGTCCTTGTTTGGAGGAGGTGTGTCACTGGGAGTGGACTTTGAGGCTCCAAAAGCCCACACCAGGTCCAGTGTCTGTCTGTCTGTCTGTGTGTGGTGCCTATGGAGAAGGATGTAAAGCTGTCAGCTGCTGCTCCAGCGCCATGCCTGTCTGCCTCCCATCACGATGATAATGAATTAACCCTCCGAAACCGTAAGCAAGCCCCCAATTAAATGCCTGCTTTGGTAAGAGTTGCCTTGGTCATGGTGTCTCTTCACAGCAATAGAACAATAACTAAAACAAATGTCCAACCATAAACAGCTCAGGGAACATCAGAGGAAAAAGAATTTAAAAGCTTGAAGAAGGGAACTCTTACGGGCCACAAGAATATATGAGATTCAGCTGTGTATTAAAGCTGAACTTGGACCAGCCAAGGGTCTGTCAAAAGGCAAAGCCATTTATTATGAATATTTGGTGTTACCCAGCCTTTAATATTTCAGCTGTCTTCTGCTATGAAATCCTTATGTTCCCAGACCTATTGGTAAACAGTTCAGCTCCCCAGACCTGCTGAACCTACTAAGTTACTAACTGCCCTGCTGAGCTTAGGAGACAAGCTGGCTTTGTTTCCTGTGCTAATGAAGCTCAGACCATCCCCTCGCCTTGAGGAGGCCTAGAGGTTCTCCAGAGCATTTTGACTGAAAACAAGAGGTTTTTACATATCAAGGTGAGAGATAAAACAACATTCCTGAGGAGGCAGGGAACCACGTGCTCAGGGAAAGAAAGGACAGGCATTTTCTGTAGACTAAGACAGAAAGAACAGCATGTCCAGAGAGAAGAGAGGATGACAGAGGTTCCATAGAGATCTCCAGGAGAGTTTTCTGAGTGTCAGGAGTAGAGAGCAGCAGAGATGGAGAAAGAGGATACAGAGGATGAAGATGAGGCTGAAAGCACAGGAGTTTAGTCATTAGCAGGACTATGAGCTAGGGAACTGGATGGAACTGCAGTTATGAAGACAGGACTTCATCCCAGAGAAATAGAGTAGACGGATATAGAGCTTGGTATGTCTAGAGTTGTTCCTGCCTTGAATGCCTGGTAGAGCTATAGTTGAATTGATAGAATTTTGTCTTAGAGGAATAAAATTAACAGACATAAGAACATAGTGTATGTAGATTTTTTTTCCCCTGATATCCCACACCAGACATTCTCCTTGGACCCTGGGGAATCGATAGGGAGCAAGAGGTGCGGAATTCTGATGTCCAGGCATGGTATGGCTATGGGATTCTTGAACTCACAGCTGCTGTGATGATCTACACAAGATCTCTGTCTGCACAAGATCTCTACAAGACTGAACCTATCCACATCCTGTCCAGAAGGATGAAGAGCTAATGGAACCCCACCCCTCTCTGAAAAGCCTAGCTAATGTTGGTGGGAATGCATGGTATAGCCACTTTGACAAATGCTTAAATTGCTTGATAGCCTAAAAAATTAACATACCAAGAAGAGAAAATATATTTATATATGCTAATTTCTGTATATAGAATTCCATGATATGCTTAGAAGCTCTTTTGATACAGTACTACACTATTGCTGAATTAGTCCAACATATGAGGACTAAAAGAGCTCAAAAGTTATCAGTCACTAATCAGGTCCGTCAGAACCTTATACTCTCTAACTACTTAACAATCATGAATAATAAGCACCCATAAAACTAATTTTAAAAGGAGAAAAAAATCTTTTAAAAAACTGTCTTGAAAAATTTACCTTGCAAAATAAATGTGTTTTCTCCATTTTCCTGTTTAGAGGTAAATTCTGTCCTTCAGGACCCAAAGGCCTTGATGAATGAATATAAGTGAACAATAATATAAAAGGATTTCCTGAGAAAATATAAACAGAAAAAAAGAAAGAAAAGATCATACTCCTGTTTAAAAGATAAAGGAATTATATTTATTTGCTTGAAATTGCCTCTTCAATGTAATGCTCAGAATATAATGCCTAATAAAGGGCATCAGTATAGGCTGGTGGGCAAAAACTAGAAAAAGCAGCTAATAGATGATAAATTAGAGATCATCCAGTTTCTTAAGTTTACCTTTTTAGTATACAGGAAAGTAGAGAAATATATCTCAAATGACATGAAAGAGAAGCCCAGTTATATTTATTCAAACCAACCATAATACAAAGACATGCTAAAACACCAACCACAATGTTACTGGGTGTTTAGTGTGTGCTAGACATTACAAAAAACACATTAACATGAGTTATTTCACACAGTCCACACAATTACCCTTTAAGGGATTGTCACTGTCATCATTTTAAAGAAACACACAACCAGCAAACAGAGCGACTAGAACTTGAATTCAGGAAATCTAGCTCCAAAACTCTTGGTCTCCTGTACCACATAATATTACCTCAAAACATTACAGCTGCATGGGGCTGGAGATATGGCTTAGCGGTTCAGAGCAAATACTGCTCTTAGCACCCAAGCTGGGTTCCCAGCACCCATGACAGGTCCCTTACAATTGCCTGTAACTCCAGCTCAATGGAATCTAATGCCCTCTTCTAGCGGCCTCAGGCACTGCACTCACATGCATAAACCCACATAGAGACACACATACACACATAATTTTAAAACTTTTTGAAAAAAAAATTGTGTGGAGTGGAAGTCAATGTCGTTGCAAACAAAAGGTGTTTTAACCTGGCTTCACACCAAAGACTTTCACGTTATACAAATGCAATAACCAATATTTTTTAAATTCACAATGTCTTTTTTTTTACTAATATCCAATCAATATTTGATGAGCTATTTATTCATGATGCTATTAGTTGAATTACAGTGCTAGTTGCGACCATCAGTGAATTTTTTTCTATTGTGAGTATTAATATTCTATGACAGATTTCCACAATGGCAGATCGAATCTTATTATGGCTAACGCCACCGATGAATGTTCAAACATTAACCTCCACTTATCATATGTGCTTAAAAAGAGAGCCTCCACCTCATGCAAGATCTTATGCTATGGAGGATTCCCACCAGCCCCGCCTTTGTGAGGTAAAACTTAAGTAGACACAGAAACACAGCAAACTGACAACAAATGACCTAACAGCCGTAAAGCTGAAGGCGCAGGCAAGTTTCCCAACCATGAAGTCTCCACCTGACTAGGACAACCATTCTCCTGACCACTTGGATACCTCCCCACCTTTCTGGACCGATCCTTCATCCAGCTACACCGAGGTTCGCTTTCTCCTTTAGCATTGCATTCTCTCCTCAGCCTCAGAGACGGCTTAACCCTTTCCGCAGCAAGTCTCGCCTCTCCAGCTCTGTCACCTCAGGGTCCTCTAAACCCTGGCCTCTGGACTGTCCCACCCTTGCCCTCGAGTCCTCCATGCCCCGGAGACGCTCTAGCCCCGTCCCTCTCTCGCGCTCCCTCTCAGCGAGGCCCCGCCCCTGGGTCACCTGATCAGCCCGAAGCTCCGCCCATGGAACTGCCTTGAGGGGTCAGGCGCGAAGACCAAGCCGCTGGGTCTTCCCAGGCCTCGGACAAAGCCGCTGAGCCGGCGAGCATCTGCCGCATGGGCGCCCCCTGGAAAGCGCTGAGGTGGCGCGTGCGCGTGTCCCCACACCTCACAAGGGCCTGTGACCTCACCCGATCCAACCGAGGCCGGTGATGGACACCACTGGGAGACTGTCCTCCGACTGCGGTCCCAGCTGCCTCCTGCTCAGCTCGCTGTCATTCTCTGGTGCTCTCTGTCCCACTGTGGCCTGTCCCCAACTTCAGGTTTGCCTTCCATCCGTCCTTGGACTACCTCCATCCTCCCTTCTAGCACCTTCCTTCCCCCCTGTTCTCCAGGGGACAGCAACTCGAGGTCATTTGCCCCACTGCCTTGCTTAAATTAGGCCCAGCTGCTTCCTTTGCGGGGAGTTTGATTCCGGGGAGGGATGGGGGGTTGTCCTGTAGATGAAATGATGTCGCTATTACATCCCTAAAGTGTATAAATCCTGTTCTGTGAATATAAACGATATTTAGGCCGTACTGAATTTGTAAATTCTGTGAGGTGAAGAATGTGTTGAAAATACTTTTCTCCAAAAGTATGTGACAAAGAGTCTTTAAATTAAAAAAAGAAAAAGAAAAAGACAGAAAGAGAAAGAGAGAAAGAGAGAAAGAGAGGAAGAGAGAAAGAGAGAAAGAAAGAAAGAAAGAAAGAAAGAAAGAAAGAAAGAAAGAAAGAAAGAAAGAAAGAAAGA